TTGAACTGCGAACTCAGAGGAGCATCATTGAAATTAGAGGGGGGATAGTTAGTTATGAAATAATTATCATTATTTGAATAAAATTGGAAAGGGATGAATTGTATTTTCTTTTTTTAATTATTTTTATTTAGTAGGTGGTTAAAAGTTTTGAGAGGGTTGATATCATTTATAGATATGTATACAAGCCCCTGATTATATTCTCCACAGTCCTTTTCTTAAGTTAAAATAGGAAATGGTATAGCGTATTATCTTATTTTAATAGATCCCTTTAGGCCATATTTTTTGATATCTAATTCACATTTAGAATAAATATCCTTACAAAATAAATTTAATTATAAAAAGTTTTTTAAAAATTGATTTTTTTATTTATTGAATATGTGAAGAAAAAAGTAGAGCATTGTCATATCATATCGTCTAAGCCAATAGTTTGTTTGTTAAATATATAACTGAAGTGTAAAATTTTAAAAGAATCACTGATTTGGACAAAGACTGGTTAAAAATAATCATGGGAAAAAACATCGGACAAAAACATCCCAATATAAAAAAATTTACATGCTTTAATGAATAAAAGGAAAATGTAATCCTCATTTTAAACTTTGCCCTTTAGTGTAATACTTGAGTATTTATAATAATATTTTACTAATAATGTTGCTCATCAAAAGTGATCATATTTGTAAGGGAAAACAACTATATGACTCAAGGGGTAGGAATATGAAATTTAAAATAATTTTATAATGCATGACGAAAGGTAGTTATTTTTGAAATATTAATCGTAGGATTGATGTGGTAGAGAAAGATCACATATAAAAGAATTTGTAAATATCCTCATAAAATCTGTATCTTGACGAATGAGTCGGTATGTAGCTTGCTAAATTTTATACCAAAGTAGACCTTCCTATATTTTTGTCACAAAAAATATTGCAAATATAAAAAATTTGAGCCTATAATATAAAAACAAACAAAATTTTTATTATTGTATTTTATAAGACTCTGAAATAAAGAGGAAAGAATGGCGAAAATATTTATAATTTATAACCAAGGGAATGGCACCAGCCAGACGAGAAATTTTTTTTTTTTAAATTTCGGCAATACTTTTTTTTAATAGTTATAATTTATCAATTATGTCATTAATTATTTGTTAATTTTTATAAGTGTGGCTATATTTTTATTATATTTTAAAATTATTTATTCAATAAGAACCCAAATCAAAATATTATATTTAAATTAATTGAGATTCATGCCGAGATATTATACTAAATCACGCCCTCCCCCCTTCCCAAATAAACAGAAAAGATAAAAAGATATCTATAAAGATCGTAAAATATAACTCGAAATATTTTGATCACCACCTGTAGTATGCCTAATTCTCTTATTATATTACATACTTCATTAAATTCACTATGAGTAAAATGCTCTCCTTAATATTAGGAACTCAATAAATAGCAGTATTGTGATCACATGTATTTATATCGTTTTTTCTTTTTCAAACATATTTTTATATTCAGATCTTATAGAATATTTGAATATATGACCAGGTCAAATATTCCCCCGTTTAATTGACCCGTCCTAGTCATTTGACTGGTTAATTGACTGACTGCTAACCCTGGCCAAAATTGATTGATAAATTTATAAATATTAGGTCTAGTGTTGTTAAACGGCTTATTTTGAGCCGATTTTTAAAAACGGCTAACTCAATATTTTAGCCAGAAAAATATTGCCTAAGCCTTGAGATTTTTTAATAGATGTTCAAACCTTTGTTCCTTCTACAAACAAAATCTTCAGTCTTGCTTAATATTATTCAGGATGAAATATTGAGTTAGTCGTTTTTAAAAATCGGCTCAAAAAGAGCCGTTTAACAACACTAATTAGGTCATCAGACATTAAATAGGAATGCTACCCAGATATCAATTTCGCCAGTAAATATCAAGATTTAACTAATAAACTCAATGATTAATATATTGATAAAGCTGAGTTCCTTGTGCGCGATTATTATAAAATAAGAACTTCGAAGAAAAGGATAGGATAGCGAAAAAGTGTATTGCAATAACAAATTTCATAAACCAGATCTAAGTTTATTAATCATTATATAAATTTTTTAAGGTTAAAAGAAAATTACAAACTATCATTGTGAATCAATCTTCAACCTATTTTAAAAAAATATTATTCAAATAATTTAATTATAAAAAAGTGATTCAAAATAAATTAGTCATTATTAGCAATTATCGCGATATTAAATTCTCTATAATATCTTCGCGATATATGTTTCGCGATAATAACTTCGCTATAAAATTTTCGCGATTAAAGTTTCGCGATAATGTAGCTTTAAAGGTTTCGCGATAAAGATTTCGCTATAAAATTTTCGCGATAAAAGTTTCGCGGTAATGTATTCGCATTAAAGGTTTCGCGATAAAGGTTTCGCTATAAAAAATTCGCGATATTTGTTTCGCGATATTGTATTCGCGGTAATGTATTTGCTATAAATGTTTCGCTATGAAAAATTCGCGATATTTGTTTCGCGATATTTGTTTCGCGATATTGCATTCGCGTAATAGTATTCGCTATTATGGATTCGCGATAAAAGTTTCGCTATAAAATCCATTCGCGATAAACGACATTCGCGATAAAAGTTTCGCGAAAAAGTGTTTCGCGATAAAAGTTTCGCTGAATTGACATGGAACCATCCAAAACCGCTTAGATGTATTTTTTTATGTTTCCGGTTCATAAAATAATTTTTTTGTCGCGAAAGCCTTTTAACGGGGAAAGGCTAACATCTTAAACATAATTTTAAATATAATTATATTATTGAACTCAGAATTTATTTCTCTATAGATATATTTTTTTACGTTTCCGGTTCATAAAATAATTTTTTTGTCGCGAAAGCATTTTAACGGGGAAAGGCTAACATCTTAAACGTAATTTTGAATATAATTATATGATTGAACTCAGAATTTAATTCTCTATCCAAAACCGCTTAGATGTAATTTTTTACGTTTCCGGTTCACAAAATAATTTTTTTGTCGCGAAAGCATTTTAACAGGGAAAGGCTAACATCTTAAATGTAATTTTAAATGTAATTATATTATTGAACTCAGAATTTAATTCTCTATCCAAAACCGTTTAGATGTATTTTTTTACGTTTCAAGTTCACAAAATAATTTTTTTGTCGCGAAAGAATTTTAATGGGGAAAGGCTAACATCTTATATGTAATTTTAAATATAATTATATCATTAAACTCAGAATTTAATTCTCTATCCAAAACCGCTTAGATGTATTGGATATTTGCCTAAAGAGGACTAAGCAGGTTAAGTTAAAAATCATGGGAGTTGACAGATTATGTATCTCCTTGCCCTTAGTTTTTAAAAAATAAATAGAATAAGGCTAAATATTGCATATATATAGTAAGCATATAATATCTATTCTGAGTTGAATGATATAATTATATTCAAAATTACGTTTAAGATGTTAGCCTTTCCCCGTTAAAATGCTTTCGTGACAAAAATATTATTTTGTGAACCGGAAACGTAATAAAATACATCTAAGCGGTTATGGATAGAGATTTAAATTCTGAGTTCAATGATATAATTATATTCAAAATTACGTTTAAGATTTTAGCCTTTCCCCGTTAAAATGCTTTCGCGACAAAAAAATTATTTTATGAACCGGAAACATAAAAAAATACATCTAAGCGGTTTTGGATAGAGAATTAAATTCTGAGTTCAATGATATAATTATATTTAAAATTACGTTTAAGATGTTAGCCTTTCCCCTCTTAAATGCTTTCTCAAATTAAAAATACCTTAAAAAATTTATGTTTCTCATTTACTTCTTTATCAAGTAATTTCAATATATTTATACTTACTTAATATAAAAAATCATAACTAAATATTAATTTATTAAAAATATTAATTTAAAAATTAATATAATAAAATTAATTTTTAAAAACCGCAAATTATTTCAAAGAATTAATAAAAAAATTCAAACAATCTTAAAATTTCCATATTTTTAATATATTATAATGTAATATTATAGTTTTTTTCTCTAAAAAAGCAATAAATCAGTCAAATATCTCATTAATCATTTTCTTTGTTATTTTTATTTTCAATAATATTTTTTAGCCTTTCCTATTACCAAGCCTTTCGACATATAGACCTACCCTGAAAAAAAGTGTTTATAAAAAGTTTCGGGATAATATTATATACTTAAAATATTTTTATTCTTATAATTATCGTCTAAGGGGAGAGGAATAATTTTATTTTTTTTGGATATAAAATTCATTGTTTTTTAAATATAAATAATTTTTTTTTACCAAGGCGGGGGGGGGGGGGGGGGGGGGGGGGAGGGAATATTTTTATTTTAATTTAACCCATTAATGGTCAAGATTTTTCTAGTGGATAAAAATGCTCAATTTTTTCAAATTATATTGATTAATGCTCAAATATGATATTCTAAAAAAATCAGCCAAAAAAAATAATCCTAAATAGAAAATCTAGCCTGGTGCATATATGCACCGTTAACCATTAAGAGGTTAAAAAAGATAAAAATTATATAAAATACTATAAGATCAAAAAAACAACAAATATCTTTATTCTTTTTTTGTAATTTATAATAAAAACGAGAAAATGTTTATATATTATGAAAATCCTTGAAACATTTAATATGGAGTGCGATTTGACATGTTTGGCACATATATCTTGAGTGCGTATGGCAATATCTGCATCTTCGTCTTTTTCCATCTATAATTTTGGATAAATAATGTCCAGATGAATCAATAGGGTTTTCACACTGTAATGCAAACTGGCTGGCGTGACCTGTACTTGAATTTTTTTCAATTTTTACTGGCGTTCGAAGGAGGTAGTTAGTAACTTCTCGTCTAAATGCAAGCAAACTCTTCTTGTCATCTCGATTCACGAATTTCCAGATTTTACATGAATTTACCAAAGCTACATCAATAAAATTGGTGAATATTGGCCACCACCATTTTTTTCCTCTTATTTTTATTCTATATGTAGATATTTAGATTATCACATAGATCAACTCCACCCATGTGTTTGTTATAAGCAGTTACCATATTTGGCTGAGGAATTTTTATTTTAGAAGATATTTTCTTAGAATACCTTGAAACATTAGAAAGCAAAGAGATAGTGTGGCATGTCGATGCAACGGTCACCACCGAATTATCATTCCAACGAACTACAAATATTTCGTTTAATTTTTCAAACCTATAATCATAATATCCTCTTTCTTTTTTTGCTACAACCTTTATAGATTCAACTGGGCAATGCTCTATTCTATTGTCCCTCACAGTTCCAGTTGCAAAATATCCCATTTGTTTTAAGTATGACAAGAGTTTAAATGATATAAAGAAATTATCAAAATATATTTTATGATAATTTGGTTTTTGCAATGCCTTTAATAATTTTATGATTACATTTCCACCTAATCCATATTCATATTTATTTTCGCTTTTTCCTTGATATATATCAAATGAGAATACGTAACCGTCGGAAGAGGCCAATATCCAAGACTTGTATCCGAATCTAATTGGTTTTCCTTTTATGAACATTTTGCAAGAATGTCTTCCTCGATATGGTATCATCTGTTCATCTATTGATAAATGATGTTTAAAAATTCCGAATTGCTGAAATTTATTATTCAATATATTAATGTAAGGCCTAACTTTATAAAATCTATCATGTATATCTATTTTAGTATTGTCTGCCAAATGGATATTATATTTCAAATTTCGAAATTGTAATTGGGTCATTGTATCCCGGATTATTGGAATAGAAATATCGCTGTCATTAGACCAGTACATTCTTTCTTGTGGGAGAGAATGATATCAAGTAAATAATAGAATTCCAATAAATCTCTGAATATCTTGGATGTGGATGGTTATGCATATGTTAGGTCTATTCATTTGTTTAGCATAAATATTACTTTGTTCTACAATTAGGGAATATAAGTCTTCGTCGAAAATTAAACAAAATATATCTGATGGACTTTTACCATGTAAATCATTTTCAAGTTTTATTACATCTTCCTTTTCTCCATTGAAAGGGCTTGAAGAATATATTGCATCCGTTTTTCTCCATTTTAAATTGTGAGAAATTCGAGAATAGCTTCTTGTAGAATATGGTTCTGGAAGGTCGTCATCAACTGAATTATGAATCTCCAATTCTCCAGCTGTATCTGAAGGCAAAACTCCGACATTTGTTAAGTCATTTTCATCGAAATCTTCTTCATCACTAACTGCAGAGGGGTTTGGCGGAATTATAACCATATCTCTTTCTTCAATTGGTTCCTCTTCAAAAAGTTGAGCAAGCGCTTGTTCAATTGTTAGAAAACGTTTCATTAAAAAAATTTATTAAAAATTAAATATCTAGACAAATTATTTTCGTAGAATCTTGATTTTTTTATTAGTCATCTATTATTTTGTAATTTTGATTGAATTGACAAAACAGGTGCATAATATTTTATAGAAATATAATAAAATCTTCAGAAAGGAAGAGGCTAAAAATAATTTTAAACTTTTGAATATTTATGAACCTAATAATTTCATATAATTTGATCGGGATAAAAAATTATAATAGGAACAATATATTATTCGATTTAATCTCAGGGGAAAAAAATTTTTTTAAATTATTTTCAAAAGGTCTTTTTTGGGTATAAAATTTTTTTAAAAAATTCTTAAGGGGCTCGAGCCACCCACCCCTCCCCTTCCCACCCTTAGTGACGGTAGTGGTTTTAAGTATAATATAAAAAATTATAATTCATTATGTTAAATTTCATTTGTTTGAATTTTTTTAAATAATATATACTGCTAGATGGTTAACGGTGCATATATGCACCAGTCAACTTTATGTGGTTACTTACTAAAATATTAATTATTTAAAAATTCAAAAATGATTGATAAATATTGATATATCTATAAAGAATATATACACACTAGTTTTCATCGAAATAATTTTATAATATGCTCGTGAGATCACTTAGAAAATTTTGCATTTTAGACCTCATAAATTCGCAAAGTTTGAGGGTTTCTTAGGGGCATAAAAAAATATTTTTTTCATATTTTTCTTTTCCAGTTTTAAGGTACAATGTCTGAACTATATAAAAATCTTTTTTATTATTTTTAAAAAAAAAACTACTATGTTAAAATAAGGTATATAGGAGGTGGTGCATATATGCACCGTTAACCAGTAACGGGTTAAGAAGAGTTATTAATTTTTAGAATATATTGATGTAATAAAAAGATTAATTTTAAGAATAGTATTGTAATTGTAAAATTTTAAATCATGATTTAAATCAGAGACCTGTAGAGGTACCATTTGCAAGGTCCTGCCGCGATTTTTTTAAAAAAAAGTGGGGCCGAATATTTTTTAAGAAAATTCGGGCCGGGTCGGGTGGGCCTCAGAAATTTTTTTATATAAATTTATCAATTTTATGATTAATTATTTATATAAAATTTAAATATTTTATTTTATTTATAGAAACTAGATACCATATAATATATATCGTTTAATTAGAAAAATTAAAATCAATTTCTGTATTAAAATTAATTCGAGCCGGGCCGGTAAATTTTTTTTAAAAAAATTTCGTTCCGTCCGAGGTAAACTTTTTTAAAAATATTTTGGGCAGAGCCGGGCCTGAAAAATTAGGCCCGATGCAGATCACTATCTCAAAGCTATTATTTGAATATTTTGTTATACAATATTATAACCTTCTTATAGCAATTATATTGAAGTCAATATAATTGCAAAATATTAGAAGTTAAATTATATAATTATAAAATAGTATAGGGGAAACTAGGGTTAGGTAAACCCCGGGACTTGGAAAACTATTTAATCTCATTTTAAAATTAAGTACATTAAAAGGTTAAAATTTTATCCTAATATAGTTTTCATTAATAAATAATTAATAAAAATTAAAATTCTGTCGTAAATTTTTTTGAAATTCTAGATAAAATTTTTAGAATTGACGTGTATGGTTTAGCAAACCTCGCCAGCTCTAAATTGACAAATCATGATTGAAATAATATCTAGATTTCATAAATTACTCATAAAACTTATTCAAATTATTGAAGAGTTTATAAACCTTTCAATAAAATTTAAAATATATAAATTATTATATATTTGTTAATAATAACGGGCGTAGACTAAAGTCTCGTTTCAGCAAAAAAATTAAAAAATAAATATTATGACAATTGTCATTTTCTATGGTACATCTTCACTGAAATTTTATTTTAACATCTTTACAATACATATTTTTACCTATTTGTTTTAAAAAAAATTCAAAAAGGATAAAAAATAACGATTATAATTGTAACTTATGGTACATCTTCACTGAAATTTTAATTTAACATCTTTACAATATATATTCTTACCTATTTACTTTAAAAAAATTCAAAAAAGTTAAAAAATAACGATTATGCCAATTGTCACTTTTCTATGGTATCTTCACTAAAATTTTAACTTAACATGTTTACAATATATATTTTTACCTATTTGCTTTGAAAAAATTCAAAAAAGTTAGAAAATAACGATTATGACAATTGTCACTTTTTTATGGTACATCTTCACTGAAATTTTATTTTAACATCTTAATATATATTCTTACCTATTTACTTTAAAAAAAGTTCAAAAATAACGATTATGACAATTGTGACTTTTCTGTGCTATCTTCACTAAAATTTTAACTTAACATGTTTACAATATATATTTTTACCTATTTGCTTTGAAAAAATTCAAAAAAGTTTTAAAAAGTTCAAAAATAATGATTATGACAATTGTCACTATTCTATCGAACATCTTCACTGAAATTTTATTCTAACATCTTTACAATATATATTTTTACCTATTTACTTTAAAAAAATTCAAAAAATAACTATTATGACAATTGTCATTTTTCTATGATAAATCTTCACTGAAATTTTATTTTAACATCTTTACAATATATATTTTTACCTATTTGCTTTGAAAAAATTCAAAAAAGTTCAAAAATAAAGATTATGACAATTGTCACTTTTCTATGGTACATCTTCACTGAAATTTTATTTTAACATCTTTACAATATATATTTTTACCTATTTACTTTAAAAAATTCAAAAAAGTTAAAAATAATGATTATGACAATTGTCACTTTTCTATGATACATCTTCACTGAAATTTTATCTTAACATCTTTACAATATATATTCTTACCTATTAACTTTAAAAAAATTCAAAAATAACGATTATGACAATTGTTACTTTTCTATGGTTCATCTTCACTAATATTTTATTTTAACATCTTTACAATATTTATTCTTACATATTTACTTTAAAAAAATTCAAAAAAGTTCAAAAATAACGATTATGACTTTTCACTTTTCTATGGTATCTTCACTAAAATTTTAACTTAACATGTTTACAATATATATTTTTACCTATTTGCTTTGAAAAAATTCAAAAAAGTTAAAAAATAACGATTATGCCAATTGTCACTTTTCTATGGTACATCTTCACTGAAATTTTATTTTAACATCTTTACAATATCTATTTCTACCTATTTACTTTAAAATTATTCAAAAAAGTTAGAAAATAACGATTATGACAATTGCCACTTTTCTATGGTACATCTTCACTGAAATTTTATTTTAACATCTTTACAATATATATTCTTACCTATTTACTTTAAAAAAATTTAAAAGTTAAAAAATAACGATTATGACAATTGTTATTTTTCTATGGTAAATCTTCACTGAAATTTTATTTTAATATCTTTACAAAATATATTTATACTTATTTGCTTTGAAAAATTTAAAAAAGTTAAAAAATAACGATTATGACAATTGTCACTTTTCTATGGTACATCTTCACTACTGAAATTTTATTTTAACATCTTTACAATATATATTTTTACCTATTTACTTTAAAAAAAATTAAAAAATAACGATTATGACAATTGTCACTTTTATATGGTACATCTTCACTAAAATTTTATTTTAACATCTTTACAATATATATTTTTACCTATTTACTTTATAAAAATTCAAAAAAGTTAAAAAATAACGATTATAACAATTGTCATTTTTTATGGTACATCTTCATTGAAATTTTATTTTAACATCTATACAATATATATTTTTACCTATTTAACTTTAAAAAAATTCAAAAAAGTTCAAAAATAACGATTATGACAATTATCACTTTTCTATGATAAATCTTCATTGAAATTTTATTTTAACATCTTTATACAATATATATTTTTACCTATTTGCTTTGAAAAAAATCAAAAAAGTTCAAAAATAACGTTTATGACATTTGTCACTTTTCTATGGTAAATCTTCACATAAATTTTAACTTAATATGTTTACAATATATATTTTTACCTATATGCTGACTAAATAGATCAACTTAGTCGACTAAATTAGTCATTTTAGTCGACTAAATTAGTTGTTTTAGTCGACTATATTAGTCTTTTTAGCAGTGTTGTTAAACGCTACTTTTAAAAGTAGCGCGCTACCGCTATCGTTTTCAAATGAGTAGCGCGCTATTAGCTACTTTTTATGCTATTTTGATTTTTTTTTTATATTTTTAACGCAACTTTATTTCCACAAATAAAATATTGGTATAAAAACATGACTATAATTTGTTACATATATATATAATTTATTTATTATTGCCCTTTAATAATAATAACATTTCGGTACTGTCATCCCCAGTCTAGAGCGACGATCAGAAAGTATAAGTTGCCATACTAAATAATCATTCAGAACTAGCGCAACGCAGTATTAAATTTAATAAACACACTTTTTATATGAAAAAAATTATCAAAA